GATGCCTGCTATTCTGATGTTATATGAAAAGCTTCCTTAGAGACTTCAAATATGTCCTTGCTCCTTGCCCATCCCTACAGGCCCGTAGACAATCACTGCCAGCTGTATCTGATTTCCAAATGGTAGTCCCAGTGTTTAGAGCCTTCTCCCTAGAAATGTTCATTTTTGAACACGGGCAACAAAACAAAATTCTGTGATGCTAAATGCATATATGTTGTCTAAGCTTTTAAAGGAGACATTGTTTTAAAAACAGTGTAATTTAATACAGTACAACATAATAGAGACAGACTTTAAAACTTGCGCAACTCCAAATTCGTATGGTTTTGGAGCGTGACTTTGATGTGACTATACACTCTCTGGATCAAAATCTCATCAAAAGTCGCATCAAAGTAGTCCAAGCACCTTTTCAAAGACGCTGTGACTTAAAGTCACACTGATTTGAATAGGTGCCTTTGAAAACAATGGGCTGCGACTTTTTGTGCCACTTTGATGTCCAAAGTGGAATGACAAGTCGCACAAGTGTGAATTGAGCTTAAGCCAAAAACATGCACAACACATCGAACTTTAGGCAAGGTTCCTTTATTCAATGAGTTCCCCCTTCCTTAACCACTTGCCTACTGGGCACTTATACCCCCTTCATGCCCAGGCCAATTTACACCTTTTAGCGCTGTTGCACTTTGAATGACAATTGCGCGGTCATGCAACATTGTACCCATATGAAATTTTTATAATTTTTTTCATACACATAGAGCTTTCTTTTGGTGGTATTTAATTGCCACAGGGTTTTTACTTTTTGCACTATAAACAAAAAAAGAGAAAAAAAATTAAAAAAAATATTTTTTTTCTTTGTTTCTATTATAAAATTTTGCAAACAGGTAATTTTTCTCCTTCATTGATGTGCGTTGATGAGGCTAAACTGATGAGCAGCACTAATGGGCACTGAGGTGGCACGGATAGGCTGCACTGATGAGGTGGCACTGATGAGCATTGATGAGGAGGCACTGATATGTAGCAATGATGGTCACTGATAGGCAGAACTGATGGGCGACACTGACGGACAGCGCTGACTGATGACACTGACTGATGGCACTGCTGGGCAGCATGGCTGGGCACAACTGCTTGGCAGCACTGATGATGGATGGCACTGCTGAGCACTGGTGGAAGGCACCACTAAGTGACACTGATGATCACTGCCAATCTGCTCTGTGACAGTGCTGCCGATAACAGGCAACTGTATTTAATCCATGATCTGCTGTGTCATTGGACACAGCTGATCATGTGGTAAAAGGCCACTGTGATTGGTCTTTTACCTTATCACATGATCAGCTGTGTCTGTAGGACACAGCGATCACAGAGATCGCTGGATGCGTGCCGCTGGAGGCGCATGAGAGGGCACATTCTGGGAGGACTTCATATGACGTCCTCCCAGAACTGGGTAACTGCACTGTAGCCGTCATTTGGCTAGAACGCGGATACCAAGTAGTTAAACATTGCATAGAAGTGCAAAAAAAGAACCATTCAGGGGAGAAAATAGTATGATAATATAATCACCTTTCCCCAATTTCTGTAGTGTGGAGAAGGGGGTGACATTATCACAAGACAGAAAGTGCAGGAATGTCTTCTCATGGGATTTGGGCTACTCAATGCTCTCTGAGATCTGGTTGGGAAGAGGATAATGTCCTCCATTCCTCACCCCAGGAGGAATCTTGGGAAATGTAAATATATTTAACTCCCCCCCACAGGTTTTTTTTCCAGCATTTTCAGGAGGCAGGGGAACCTTGAAAAAGCAGACCTTGTCACTGATGCGCCTTTAAAGAGGTGATAGGTATATTTATTAAATAATGCTGTATGCAGACTCATGTGTCTGAAGAAGTCTGCATTTGGCTTTTGTCAGTGAATCTGCTGAGGATTCTAGCTCAGACCTCTTAGGATAGCAACAGCAGGAAAAAAGTCAGTAAATATTTGAAAACTTGCTTGGTATATCCATACACAGTATGGTGTGATAAATGTCAGAAATCTGATTATTAAAATTAATTGAGTTTTTAAGCTCTTTTCCGCTATCCAAATAAAAACACCTGTAAGATAGGACTCAAAAAATTACCATTGCCGTTGCATATTTTCTGGTGAATACTACACAAGCTGTAGCGCTGCAAAACATGATCAATAGTGGAACAGTTAAAGGATGAAGTTGATTCAGTGGCATAACCAACAGATTCTGTTTTGGTCCAATTTTAATAAATCTGCTCTAATATTATTTAGCTATGGGCAGAATTATGGAAAATTAATGTGCTTTCCACTAGCTCAGTGGACAGCAATCAGTTGCTACACTTGGCTATCAGCCCTTAGTGATGTAATTCACTATAACTGGAAAACTACACCACTTCTTCTTTGGCACCAAGAATATAATTTAATTAAACTATTCAACTTCATCATTAACAAGGGCTTGTTTTCATGATCATTATTCACACTTACTCAGGGAATAAGAGAACATTTGCAATCTTTTGCCACAATTTGCTATTTTATAACATTTTAACTCAATGATCCATAAACCACCTGCAGCTAATCAGTGAATTCTGAGATTCTCAGCGTAAAAATAGCCAACAATTTGAAATGAGCAGATGAATTAATTATGCAAGTATATTCAGATTTTGTTTTCACTAGTCAAGTCAAGAACTGTGCTTTTAATCACTTCCTGCAATTTTTTAAGGTGCATTAAATAGTCATTTCTATCTATAAAGTCAATGCCTCCAAGCTCTTCTGTGCCAAACAGTAGCTACCATTTTCTGCTGTTTTTTTTTTAACTTGTGTAGGTAAAATGGTTTTCTTCTGAGTTAAACTGGTAAAAGAAGGTTATAGTCAAAAGCTTGTAAAGAAATCCTTTATGAACTATTTCACCACACATCAGTATTAAAGTGGTCATTAAAACAAAAACAACAACAAAAAAAAAATTATATTGGAGCTTGCCATTTCTTAGATGTGGTGGCTGCATTTAGTTTTTTTTTTTTTTTTTTTTTTTTTTAAGTTCTTATACACACAGGGCTTAGAAAATGCCTCTTTTACAGGCCTTTGGAGCTTTTTTTAGCCTGTAAAAGCACCTCTATGTTAGCTTATGTGTCCATGCACATATAGGTGTTTACAGGCAAAAAAAAAAAATCACAAGCGTTCAGGAGAGATTTTGAGCATGAAAAACAGCAGAACATGCCAAAACACGCCAATACACAACCAAGCACTACACATGTTCAGTGATTAGTGTTAATGCATTCTAATGGCCAGAACTAGTGAATATTCTGGCAAATAAAATACATTAATGCACCTAAATACGCCTGAATGCCCGTGCAATACGCGGCTTTAGACACGCTTTTTAGGGGGTGCTTACAATGGTCAGTTTTTATTCATTTCTGAAAAACCTTTATCCCTAAAAAGGTAGAAAAAACTGTTTATGTAATTGCTTAAAAAGTGTTAGCTGGAACTCTAATTTGTTAGTGTATCTAACACTACCCTCTCGCCAGATTGACAATACTGCTGTCCAAGAGTGTCTCTGTTGTGTCACCATCCAGACGGAAGACACCCTAAGCCAGAAAGTGTGTTACTGGTTGAAACACCAGGTGAAAATGAAAGGAAAAATTCCTTAAAAAAAGAAAAAGAATGCAGCCACTACATTTTAAAAATTGGTAAGCTGCATTATATTACATTTTTGGTTCGGGGTTCAAAACTGCAGACCAAGCTTTTCTGGGATGTTTTGTTTAAATGTTTAAATCTGTATTTTTTGCAAGAAAATTACTTAGAACCCCCAAACATTATATATATATATATTTTAGCAAAGACCCTAGAGAATGACAGGCCGATAATTGCATTTTTTCTATGTCACATGGTATTTGCACAGTGGTTTTTCAAGCACAATATTTTTGGAAAAAATACACTTTGGTGAATTAAAAAAAAAACTATATCACAGGATATACCCCAATTTTTTTGTAAAATATGAAAGAGGCTGTTACAGTGAGTAAATGGCTACCTAACATGTCACACTTAAAATTGCGCACGCTTGTGGAATGGCGATAAATTACGGCCCTTAAAAATCTCTGTAAGCGACGCTTTAAACATTTTTACAGGTTACCCGTTTAGAGTTACAGAGGTCTAGTGCTAGATTTATTGCTCTCTAGCTCTAACAGTCGCGGCAATACCTCACGTGTGCTGCGAACACCATTTCTATATGCGTGAACAATTTATGTATGCGTTTTCTTCTGTGCGCGAGCACGTGGGATGAGGGCGCTTCCATTTTTTTTTTTTTTACACTGTCCCTTTATTTATTTAGTTTTTACTTTCGTGTGATGACTGGATGTGACGTCATGATGTTGCTTTTGGTCCTCCTCCATCACTGCCATCCTGAGAAGGCCGGACAGATGGATCGTTTCTCAGGCCGTCTGGCGTTAACAGTAAGCCCGAGAAACACCGGAGAGTAACGGGGGGACGGGGGGGGGGGGGGGGAGGGTTTGGTCCCCTTCTGCCACTACGAGAAGCGATCCAGCGGAAAGCAGATTTCTTCAGCCATGACCCCATTAAACCACTGGAAAACTGCAATGTTTATATACGTATTGCTGTCTTCAAGTGGCTAAGGAAAATCCATTGTACTCAAGTGGAGAGCTACAACTGTTCCCACCCTGAACACTTGGAAGTTGCTTGTCAACTCTATTATTCCTCTTTACAAAGAAACGTATATGACTAGGGGGTGTCCTAAAAGTTTTTCAAAGTTTGGGTTGTCTGGCTAGAATCTGACGCCACTACTGTGGGCCAAGGTGACTCTGTGGACCTCCCGCCCTAAACAGTTATCTATGTTTGATTTGAAACATGGTCAAGTCTGATAGGTTCTCTACCTCGTTCATTCTACCCAGGTACCGTAATATTATATGGTATAGTGCAGTAGTGTACAGGGTGGTAGAGGGATAGTTCCGATGAGGTGTTCCTCTTTATTAGCTGTATGTTCTATGTGGATGGGAGCTTACATACATGTCTTATGAGTAGCAATCATTGGGTAATTCCAGGTTATAGGTCTTAATTTGTTTGTTTTTTTTTTCCTTTTTCTTTGGTGTTGAACCTATTCAAGCTGGGGAATGCCCAGAGGCTCAGTTTTGAGACTCTGTACATTACACATTGAATAAACAGAAATTTTTAAAAACTGCTTTAAAGTCCAGATCCAGCCAAAACATTTTTTTCATTGCTCTGGATGGCATGGGGAATGACTTTAAAAAGAAAACACCAGTATTACAGCAGTTACTGTATACAAATTATTGGCAGGAAAGAAACCTCCTGTCATGCTGGCTTTATGCTACAGCTGTCCAATTGTTTTATACATGGAGGGAAGTACATCTCCCGATGGGCTTCAGAGTGGTAGAGTTTATAAATAGAGCCCATCGACAGAGTAACCATGCTTTGTTTCTCTTTACAACTTCAGTAACTAATAGAAGTATTGCTGTAACAATAATTCTAATTTGGAACTGAAGTAATAATGAGTGATGGGGGGGGGTCAGGGACTCTTGCACTTGTATGCACTCAGAACATTTTTTGTCTTTTTTTTTGGTCTCATTTCTTTTTAGCATAAACTTCCCACTTTAAAAAAGTCACCACAACAAAATATAATCAGAGCGGAGTGAAATTTCTGCCAAGTCTCCACTTAAGCTTGATAAATGCATCCACAACCCCCACCATCTATTCCTTCCATTTGCAAAACGTGTTTATGACTAGCTAATACTATATCAGCATTTAATTTTCATTTTATTGAATCTGTGGGATTAATGTGGCTTACCGGCACTTGTTAAATTTGAGGCTGATAAACTGAAACCGGGTCAGGGATATAACAAAAATAAACAGAATATAATAGAATAATATAAATAAAATGCTGTTATCACAAAAAAATAGCTAAAAATGCAGCCAAAAGAAATTTCAATATATAAATAAAAAGGTTATGATTTGTACTGATACTTTCAAACTATATATAAAACTATGAAAATAGGTCTGTATATCAACCTTAATAAAGTGACCCCTTCATTATTGTCATCATTATACAGGATTTATATAGCACCAATAATTTGCTCAGCGCCTTACATTATAAAAGGAGAAAATACACGTTGCCCCCTTGTGCTGGTGGTCAGTGGAACGTTGCCCCCTTGTGCTGGTGGTCAGTGGAGCTTTGTCCCTTGTGCTGGTGGTCAATGGAACTTTGCCCCCTGTGCTGGTGGTCAATGGAACTTTGCCCACTTGTGCTGGTGGTCAATGGAACTTTGCCCACTTGTGCTGGTGGTCAATTGAGCTTTGCCCCCTTGTGCTGGTGGTCAATTGAGCTTTGCCCCCTTGTGCTGGTGGTCAATGGAACTTTCCCCCCTTGTGCTGGTGGTCAATGGAGCTTTTCCCCCTTGTGCTGGTGGTCAATGGAGCTTTTCCCCCTTGTGCTGGTGGTCAATGGAGCTTTTCCCCCTTGTGCTGGTGGTCAATGGAGCTTTTCCCCCTTGTGCTGGTGGTCAGTGGAACTTTGCCCCCTTGTGCTGGTGGTCAGTGGAACTTTGCCCCTTGTGCTGGTGGTCAGTGGAACTTTGCCCACTTGTGCTGGTGGTCAGTGGAAGCTCTGTTATTGTGTTTTTCTTTTAAGACAAAAGATGTTTATGTATGGGTTGTTTTTTCTAAACTAAAACCTCAGTATTCAGGTTTAATTGCCGTGTTAGCACTTTGCAATAAATAAGTGGGTTTTGGGTTGCAGTTTGGGCACTCGGTCTTTGAAAGGTTTGCCATCACTGGCCTAGGCCAAGATGATGGCATTGGTTGAAGGTAGAAGAAAGTGTTTCCCCCAGTACAATATTGTAACTTTGCAGAAAGTCACAAGGTGAGGGGTTGCAGCAGAGGCTGATCTGTATGAAACAACATCAGTATATACAGAAGAACTGTAAAAACAATAGGATTGACATGATTGTGTCACTTTTGAGAGCCAGTTCACACCAGATGCAGTCCAGTGCATTTTTTTTCTGCATCAAAAAACGCATGTACAGTAGGTTATACTGCACGGCATACTAGCACATTATGGCAGAATTATCTTTCAAATGAAATGAAGCCCTCCAGTGGTGCACAGTCAATACTGCCACAGCTTCCATTTTCACCTGGTTTTCCTTCCAGGTTCTCACACTCTGGCTGCTTGAATGGCTGAGTCGTGATGATGTCACTCTCGCACATGTGAATCATGAGTGCCGTGCTCTGAATTAAGTGCGATGCAGTGCGCTGAATTAAGTGCGGTGCGGGAACTCTAGTTACATCACTGGCACTGATCTCCTAAACGGTGCATGTTATTCCTTTTACCTACAGTTAAGCCTTATTCTAAGCTACAATTTTCTGCCACTTCAAAGGCACATTGCAGGTGAACAAAAATAGTTGGAGAAAGAGTCTGCCTTATGAAAGTCAAGTATTTGAATACCACCTGGGGTGGGTCACCTTATCGCAAATAGCTCAAGCATAACCTATCTTCATGGAAATATTTTCCAACAATTTATTAGTATTATAAATACCGGTAACTAAGCTCTTTACTGTTGTTTGGTTTATACATGATCTAGTTGCATAAACCACTATATGGAATTTACAGTACTTGCAAGACATTGCAGGGTTAAATTCCTGTAATGTATGCTGAATAGTATGGACATACCAAGTGGAAAAAACTAGCAGTGAGAGGCATGCTGTGTTAAAGCTAACCTGTCACTATAAATATAAAGATTACCCATGCCAAGTCTGCTTCAGGGAAAGTCATGAAAATGTCATTACACAGATTTTTTTCATCTTGTCACGTAGCCAATGTTTAAAGGACATTAATACAGTGTATAGAAGGATGAAGATCATTTTAAATGAACACTTTTGCTTTTCTGCAAATATCTTTAAATAATTTAATTTTTTTTTTTATTTTGTAGACCATATCGACCTCAAAACTACTGGTTAGATCTGAAGGGGGGATAACAGGCATTTAATACGCATTTAAAATGAAAAAAAATGCAACATATAAAAAGGCAGTTTTTAATTATTTTTGTTCTAAATTTTAATTTTTAAAAGGATAAGTTCACCTTTTGACAAAAAATAATAAATGCACTTTTTTTTGCAGGTAAAAAAAATGTGCATTTATTATTTTTTGTTGCAGGAGCCTGTAAAGCATTGCACTAGTGATCAGCAGACCGCTGGTGCCATGCAGCTCTCCTGCATCTCTTTAAAAACCGGTGGAACAAGTAACATGTTACCAAAGGTGAACTTATCCTTTAAGCTATTTTCCGGTAATTTGAATTGTTACTTTATGTCCATAAACATCCATTACATTTATTAACACTTAAGGGGAACTTTACCAATAACAATTTAATGAAAATTATTGTTCTTTAGCAATGAACATACATTCCATGTTAATAATTATGCATCCAAAATTAGTGTGCGCTGTAAACCGCCTCCAGCATTATTCCGGTTTCTTCTTGCTGGAGGCTCCTATTTTGCTGAAGCCTAGAGCCCCTGAGCAGCAGTAAATCTTTAGGCTGTCAGCAGATCGGCGTCTACATTTTTGGCACAGTGGGGAAAAATAGAGATCAACTGGGCATGTGCAGAGTAGAGTGAGGCAGTGTATTACTGGATTTTAATTAGTATAGGCACTTATTTTTAATGTATTACATAGCTATACCTGCAAAAGAGGCCAAGCTGATGTGATCTAGCAGACTTAATTTTTTGACTGAGACTCTATTCACTTGTGCAGCTTAAATGAAGTTTCCATTCACACGACTCCAAAGTTGGAGTACAGCTTTGACACAACTTTGGATGGGTGCAAGTTGGATACGACTTTGGCTTTCTTTAAAGTGTTACTAAACCCAGGACCCTGCATTCCCTATATCTGGACTCCCTCAGTACACAGAACATGGAAGCATAATTGTTTTAGTAAATATAACCTGCTAAAGACCTTTTCTCATCAGCAGTTAGAGAAGTCTTGTGACTTCTATCATTTTCCAGCCGAGCTCATGTAAAGCTTGTAGGAGGAGTTTTCATTACGATCTAGGAAGATGCATGACCCCTGACCTCTGTCTCGACAGCGCTGATTGGCCCTGTGCTGATCACATGCACTCCCCCAAGAAAAAAAAAAAAACTCTACTAATACACACTAAGCTGAACGTGTGCAGCTTTCCCTCAAGGCTCTGTTCTATCAGTAGATGAATTGGGGACAGTAGAAGAGGAGGATCAGAGAAGACAGGACTAAATATCCTTTTTACACAATGCAGAGGATTAACCCCTTATGTTCCATAGTGAGTATACCAAGCATGCTTTACTGCATATACAGACCGATTTTACTGTTGTGGGTTTAGTAACACTTTAATGACAATGGACAACTGTTGCACGTATAACATTCAGGTGCAACTTTCATACAACATTTGAGGGTTTATTTTGCAATCTCAAGTTGCATGAAAGTTGTATCAAAGTAGTGCATGAACTACTTTGAACTTGCTGCAACTTTAAGTTGTACATCATCCACAATTACATGATTTTTAATGCTCAATACAATTCACAGCCCCCCCTCACCTACACCCCCAGCCTCAGTTGAGCCCGTTAATATGAGGGACACCATTGGACTTCCTCAGGCTGCCATCGCTGGGGATTCCCACGTTCAGTTCCACTTTCTCCTAAGCCATGATGGCAGCAGCAATGCTCCCCCGATCCTCCTTCCTCCTCAGTACAAGGCCTCATTAGACAAGCTCAGGGCTCCAGCCTGTTACCAGGTTCGCCACTATTCTGCCACCGTTTGCACTGTGTGAGGCCGAGGAAGCCCCAGAGCAGGCCCAGGCCAAGCTCTCCAGCCCTCCCTATGCCAAGACTGAGTAGCGCCCATCACGCTTGCACACAGTTGATGACTGAGCACAAAGGACGGCCTGAGTGTGCTGAGAGGAGACACCTCTGGACAGGGAATGGGTTGACAAAAGCCCAGTCATCAGGATGCACTTTGCAGTTGCCGTGGTGACCTGCTGATTGGGATTTGTCGAGCCCTGCAGTATATATATATATATTATATATATATATATATATATATATACATACACACACACACACACACACACATACATATACACACACTGTATAAAGATAGACAGATTTATATACACAGTGTATGTATACACATTATATATATACACATGGAATGGTATGTGAACCCCTTGGAATATAATGGTTTTCTGCAGTAGTTTGCCATAAAATTTGATCTGATCCTCATCGAAATCACAAAAATAGACAAAAACAATGTGGTTACGCTGATAACGCACAGGCAATTCTAATTCCTCATGTCTTTACTGAACACTGCCATTAAATATGTATAGTGCTAGAGGAAAAGGTAAGTGAATCCTTGGAGTTAATAGCTGCTCAAACTTTCTTTGGCAGCAATGACCTCAAGCAAGTGCTGTTGATAACTCTGGATAAGACCTGCATAACGCTCAGGAGGACTTTTTGACTATTTCCTTTACAAACCGGCTTCAGCTCAGACACATTTTTTAAATGTCTGTTGTAAACAGCTCTCTTGAGGTCATTCCACAGCATTCTATGGGGTTAAGGTCTGGGCTCTAACTGGGCCACTCCAAAAGGCACATATTCTATAGTATATCTACTTTGATGCTTAGGGTAATTTTCCTGCTGAATGACCAAACTTCCATTATCCTGTAGGATATTTTGGTAAACTTGGGAATTTATTTTCCCTTCAATAATGGCAAGTGGTCAAGGCCCTGAGGCAGTGAAGAAGCCCAATGTTCCCTCCACCATATGTCACTGTTGGGATGATGTTTTGATGTTGGTAAACTGTACCCTTTTTGCGCCATACATAGTGCTAAGTATTCTTCCCAAATTTTTTGTTTCATCAGTCCACAAAACATTTTCCCAGTAGCGTTGTGGTTTGCCAAACTTCGGGCACGCAGCAATGTTTTCTTTGGAGAGCAGTGGCTTCCTCGATGGTGTTCTGGTATGACTATCAACATGAGGATGTTTGCCAATTCCAGTGATGTCTTCAAGCCTTTAACTGTTACTCATGGGTTCTTCTTTACCTCATTGAAGATTCTGCATTGTGCCTTGGGAGTCATCTTGGCTGGGCGCCCACTTCTAGGAAGAGTAGCCACAGTACTAAACTGTCTCCCATTTTTAGTCAATTTGTCGAAACTGTCTACTGATGATTGGCTAAACAATTTGAGATTGCTTTCTATCCCTATCTAGCCTTATGCACATCAACTATTCTTGATCGTATGTCTTCAGGGAGGTCCTTTTTGCAAGACATGGTACACATCAGCTGATGCTTCTTCTGATCAGCAAACTCAAAATGTTTGAGTGTCTTTTTCAATCAAAGTAGCTCTAAATCACACCTCCAACTCATTTCATTAAAGTATTACTAAACCCACAACAGTAAAATCAGTCTGTATATGCAGTAAATCATGTTATACTCACTGTGGAACTTAAGGGGTTAATATTCTGCACTGTGTAAAAAGGATGTTTGATCTTGTCTTATCTGATCCTCCCCTTCTTCCAAGTTCCCCATTTCATCTCCTAATAAAACAGAGCCTATGGGACAATCTGCACGTGCTCACTGCTAGAGAGTTTTTTCTTTTTCTTGGGAGGGTGCATGAGATCAGCACAGGGCCAATCAGCACTGTCCAGACAGAGGGTAAGGGGTTATTCAATCTCATACTGATGAGAAAAGGTATTTAGCAGTTTATATTTACTAAAATAATTGCATTGCCATGTTTTGTGTACTGTGGGAGACCAGGGTCATGGGTTTAGTAACATTTTAATTGGACTCCAGGTGTGCAAACTACTGACTCCAATTAGCTTTAGTTGAAGTAGTTAGTCTATTGATCCACTTACTTTTTCCAAAAGCACTGTGAATGTTTAATGGGTGTATTCAGCAAAGACACGAGAAATTAGAATTTTATTATTTATTATCAGCATAAACACATTGGGGTTGATTTCCTAATAGCAAATAGACTGTGCAATGCAAGTGCACCATCAGGCATCACCCCTTCTGAAGATATATGTTTATATGAAACGTGTTAAGGAGGAGCCCCACCTCCCAGAGACGCCAAGCCGCCGGATCACGGAGGTCCAGCGGCCATTACAACTATTGTACTGGTCAGTAACATTGCCAGCACACGCAATTTGCAACTGACATAGTGCAGATTTATTTTATCCTTCCTTCATTTGATTACACTTTATTACATGTGTGTAATATTTTTATATATCCACAATAATTTTTTTCAATAAATAATTTATTATACTACACTATGAGACCCCCCCTTTTTTCTGGCTCTACTATGAGCACTTAACCCCCAGGACCCAGGCTCCGTCCGACTTGAAGGATGGATTATATCCCTTGTGACCAGACCTATTTACAGACCCTGGAGAGGGACCTCTGATTGACATCTTCCATAACGCCCATGCTATCAGAGGTGGACAAGCCAAGACCAGACCAGGTTCCATTTGATGGGAGTCCCCCAGGCAGGATTATATCATTCAATGCGCATTACATTAGCGCTTCTGGTGAGTTTGCAATCCCACTAATCTTTCACACACCACCGGATGTTTTGTATTTCCGGGCTTTCTATTTCCTGGTTGATCATCCACTTCTAGATTTTATATAAATTATTCACTGGAATCTCACCATTTGAAGAGACACTCCCATATCATTTAATTTAACTTATTCAACAGGACTTTTATATTATTCATACGATATAGTATATCCATATGCTATATTTTATTTACTGCAGAGAATTACCTGTGACACTCATTCTGCCTGTATATGTGCACTTTTATGCGCTGCACTACTGTATGTTTATTTGATTTCTTGTTAGTTCCTTTTTTTGTGCATTTGCTGCTACCCAAGTTAGCGCTCACTGATATCATTTGTTTTTACGTAATGCAAGTGCACTACAAGTGCACTGAAAGTGCAGTTGCTCTAGATCTGAGGGGAACATGCAAGGAAAATTAAAAAAAAAAAAAAAAAAAAAAAAACACAGCATTTTTGCTTCCATATGATTGGTTGAAGGAAATCAGCCCCTTGAATATTAAGCAACTAAAGCGCACAGTGCACAATATATTTACCTTTAGTAAATCAACCCCCATGTACATTCTATTGCTATGATTAGATGAGGATTGGATGAGGATCAGATCACATTTTATGGCAAATTACTGCAGAAATCCAGTTAATTCCAAGGGGTTCACATACCTACAGAACTGTTTTCCACCTTTAATGTGACCTATAAACACAGCTACATCCCCAGTTAGAAGAGGGGTGTGCACACTTATTATTTTAGTTTATTATTTTAGTTTTTTATTCTTATTATTATTATTTTATATTATATTTTTTCAATTGAGTTGTACAGGTTAGGTCACATTAAACTTGGAAAAAGTTCTGAAATGATTTACCTGTGTCTAATTCTTTTTATGTCACAGAAACCTGACATTTTAGAGGGGCATGTAGCCTTTTTATATCCACTGTGTGTGTATAATATATATATATATATATATATATATATATATATATATATATCAATCTAAGTATATACAGTGGATCTCTACTTTAATATCACAATAATACATAACCAAAAGGGACTTGGGGCATGCTGATGTCGATTCAACAGATGTAGTCAATGGTAGGGAAGTTTATAGGTATTTAAAATGTACACAATATGGCCAAAAGTTTGATGGCGTCTGACTATCACGTCTATAGACATCCTTGTTAGACATTCCACTCCAATTCATGGTGTTGATGTTGGATGAGAACACCTGGTTCTCAATGGGCATGCCAATGCATCCCAAAAAAGTTAATAGGATTCAGGTGAGGGCTTTGTGCAGGCCAGTCGAGTTCCACACTAAACTAAAAGAAAAATCACAAGAATTCAATAAAACACCACTAACAATTTTCATAGCCAACAGCCTCCTAGCAAGCAGTAGCTCTGCAGTGGGTGAAGCCTTATGGGGAAGCTGAGACACTAGTATCCAATCAGGTCCATTCTCGCCTTGTAATTGACAGCAGGTAATAGGTGGATTCTATACCAAATAGCAGGCTGGGGAGAGGGATAGAGAGAGAGACAAAATTAATGATGTGGCCAGTTGACAATTCAGAAATGCATCAGCATCAGAAATGCTGCTATTTCATAGATAAAAGTTCATTAAATGATTTCCAGTAGTCCATAATTTGTACTTTTTCAGCAGTGATTTGCAATATATATTTCCTATATTTATGACCAGCGTATGCCTTAGTATCGATAGGCTCTAAAGTGGAGCACTGAACTGGATCACCAGTGCTGGGTGAAAAGTGTATACAGTTCTTCCTGGTAAAATGAACATGGAATACAAAACACTTTGCGATGACGCCACACTCAGTGACTATGCCAACAGTTTTCTCAGACAGCACTAAATGCACAGACCAATTTATGTCTTTTTATATGAATACATCCAGAACTGCTGCTCTTAGCATTTGAAGAAGCTATACAGGTCTGTGGTTCAGCGCTCTCCCAAGGGGAAGGGGAGCTGTCCAGACAATTGATGGCTGTACTGTCACTGCTAGACTCAGTATGGCACCTGAAACATGGCTTGCAAAGCAAATGTCTGCTAAGCAACAAATGGTACTGAGCTGTTTGAGTCAATGTTTATCATGCGTCAGGAACATGTGATCACTGTACCACATAGTATCAAACAATCGCGCCAAGATGTGGGTTTTTAGAGATGACTCATTAGGTATTGAAAATAAGTAGCCACCATACCCCTAACCTTAAAACCCAACTGTGGGAAACCACTGGAGCATGGAGAAGAAGACATTGTGGGGACCAGTCTAGCAGCACAGAAGACCAAGTAAGTAGATCTTCTTTTCTATGTCCCATGGCCCTAAATAAGCACTGTTTCCTGGAGTTGGGCTTTAAGTAGACACTGTCATTAAAGAGAATGTGTCTTTAAGCCTCCAAAACTTCCAGGGTGTGTCAGATTCTAGTTTCTAACCTCTGTGTGCAGTAGTTGTAGCCAACAGCCACTATGTCACCAATGTGTCCCTGCAGCTCTGTATTTTTGTATCTTAAAGCGATTGTAAAAAGTTATATTTTTGTTAAACTAACATGTTACACTTACCTGCCCTGTGCAATGGTTTTGCACAGAGTAGCCCCGATCCTCCTCTTCTCAGGTCCCCCGCCAGTGTTCCCAGCTTCTCCTCGTCTTCACGGGCCACCGTAGGAAGCCGCTTCCTTTGGTGGCACACGGGTGGGCTCACACACGAGATGGGCTGTGCAGGTCTACTGACACACACACAGTGCAGTTTGGCCCTGTCCACTCCTCACTGGATTTGATTGACAGCAGGAGCTAAAGGTTCCCGGTATTGCCACTATGTCCAGTGAGCATAGAGAGAAAGAGAAGAGAGCCACTGCTCTCGGGCACAGTGCTGGAAAGGGCGCGCTGACAAAAGAAGGCTTTTTACCTTAATGCAGAGGATGCATTAAGGTAAAAAATCTTCACCTTTTACAAGCACTTTTAAAGCAGTAAACACCGCTTGGACACTTGTACCTACAGATAAGTTTATATGAAAGCTTACCTGAAGGGAAAAGAAATAATCTCCAAAATGTGCACTGTTTAGGATATATCCACCGTCTCTGCAGCCGGAGACATCACCGATGCATGCACTCTGAAGGGGCGGCATACTCATGAATATTTGAGATAATTAATAAATAGGTTTAAAAGCAACTAATTTAAAATACCTAAATTTGACTTCATACCATCGTTAGCAGAGGGAATATAGCGCTTACAGCCAATCAGGTGTGCATAGAGGAACGACCCATCAGTGTGGAAGTTTTTTCACTGCCCAGCCATCACAGCCTGGGGTACAGAGGTGACTTACCTGTACCTCCTTGACTTTAGTAGAAAAATGTAGCTCGCCAATCTAGTTGTGTTATGTAGTAGAGCTGTGTACATCTTAAAACATACTGGAAAAAAATAAAAAATCCTTTTGGCACGTAAAATACCATGCTCCTTTCAGACCAAAACCTTAGACAGAGCTGTAGAGAGGGAAGGGAAGTGAGTAGGGAGATAACTCATCGGTCTGACTCCTTCACTTGTCTGACTTTCAGCTTTAGCTATTTAGCTCTGTAAACAATAGGTTATCCCAGCATGGCAGTAGCCTCCCTGGCGGTATTCCCGAGTGTAGCTCAGGGTAAAGTTTCAGTACCAAAAGCGGTAACCCCGAGCTACACTCGGGCTTACCATGTGGCGCTGCTCCGGGATCTGTTCTTCTCTACCTTGTCCTGCGCTCCCGCAATGTCCCTCCTACAGTGTCCCCTGTAATGTCCTCCGGTGGATGCCGGCATCTGTCATCTGTGTTCCGTCCCCTGCGAGTGTCGGGACGTACGGGAAACGGAACGGCGGGAAATTTGAAAATGACAAAAAGTGACATTCACTAAATTCACTAAAATAACATAGTAAAACATTACTGTATCAAACCATTTCACATACATTTTGTCCCTAGTGCTTTGTCCTGTGCCCTGCCTGCATTTTTACTGTTCTTTCTGCCTGGAAAATAAGAAACGTCCATGGCGTCCAAAAAGCGTCCCTTTAGGTCAAAATCGGTTTTAGACCAGCTAGAGAACAGCAATAGTAAATTAGAGCTACTTGCAGAATTGAGTGATAATGATTCGTGGGGAAATTCATCATCAGACACTGAAAACTATTTTTTGAGACTTTGCTCGGTGATGTGCGAACTTGGCACTATATTTCACATTTCAGTGTTT